GCGCGCGCGCGCACAGAGCGTGGGTGGAGTACAAGCATGGATTCGGAGACCTCTTCTCTCCTGCTGGAGAGTTCTGGTTGGGCAATGAACCCCTGCACCATCTGACATCACAAGGTGCGTGTGTGTGTGTGTGTGTGTGTGTGTGTGTGTGTGTGTGTGTGTGTGTGTGTGTGTGTGTGCGTGCGCGCGCGCGCGCGCCTGATGCTTTCTGTGTTTTAGGGAACTATGACCTGCGCATCAACATGGAGGACTTTGAGGGGAACGAGCGCTTCGCCGAGTACAAGAGCTTCAAGGTGGACGGCGAACAGGTGAAACTCAAGTAACCGCGGGAACGTCTCAGCTTTAAATTCAATCTGACGCTAAGAACACTTTACAGCCTCTCCCTGACCTTTGACCTCCTATCGGTTTCTCATAACACTCGGTCTTATTTAGACTACGGTCCCCAGCAGCAGCATCAAGGTCACCGCCGGTCTCTGTTCCCATCGGCGGTCCTCTCCCTCTCTGTGTTCCTGCACTGCTGAGGATAAACACAGATAAACTAACAGCAGGGGGAGGAGCTGCAGAATATTCCGCAGTGTCGGCGCGATGACGCGACGCTCCGGTCACCACGAGAGGAGGAAGTAAGACGAGCCGTTTGCTGCTGTTTTAGGAGGCCCCACACCTGACCCTGACGTTAAACCTGAACCCAGGTGTGGCCTCAGGCCTTCAAAGGCTGTGAAAATGATGCGTTGAAGGGGCGTCGTTAAACGTAGCTGCAGAACAATAACCCGGGTCACTCTGCTGACTGCACGTTTTGTGTGTGTGTGTGTGTAAGATGTCTGATTAATCAGCTGGTGCTGAACGAACTGGCTGCGATGAGTCTGAGCATCAGATTTGTAACTGTGAGCTCCTGCAGCACTCGCAGTTTCAGCGCGTGGTCTTCCTCGCCGTCACGGACCTGTGAGGTTCGCGTCAAACAGGGTCCGGCTGTAAATGGCTCCAAGTGTCCTCGCTGAAGGTCGCGCTGCAGGTGTGAGCCTGATCACTCTGCTTTCACTCCCGTGTTCACCTGAAGGACCAGTACCAGTTACACCTGGGCGAGTTCACTGGGAACGCTGGCGACGCTCTGGACGACGCCCACGGGGCGGGACCGGGCAGTCCATGCGCAGACGGGGTGAAGTTCAGCACCTACGACCGGCCGAACTGCATCGACGCCGACGTTCAGTGCGTCAGACACGGCAAGTCGGGCTGGTGGTTCAGCAGGTGAGACGCGCACGGCGACGCGTTTACTGCAGGCTTAAAGGGACAGTACACCAAAACTGAGCTGTAGAGTCGGTCCTCCACACGAGACAGAGCGACGGGGCCAAGCATCACTCGCCAACACCGCGACCCCGGGAAACTGACATCTTGCTGATAAACGTGATTCAGCCTCAGACATTCAGATTTAAATTCCAGCTGCTGCGTTTCTTTGTTCGTCTTTCATTTCTGCAGTTTTGTGTTCAACTCATAAAATCAAACGCACCTTTCATGGGAACTGTGGAGATGAAGATCTTTGTGTGTCTGTTTGAAGCGTTTGTTCAGCGGCTGCTGCGTTTAGTGTTTAGTTAAAGTTCACCGTCCTTTAAACCAAAGGTTAATAATCAGCTCGTTTGATTTCTGCCTCCTCATGTTCCCTAACGCAGCCGTTCCCAAACTTTTCTGCAGCTGCTCCAATTTATAATCAGAGTTCAGGTCTTTTTAAACTCGGGTAGAAAAAGCAGAGTAGAGAATCAATAAAGTTTTAATAGAAAAACCTGAACTTTTATCCCTTAAAATTAAACCCAGCAGGGTTCATGCTGCTGAGCTTCTCACGGCTCGTTTTCGGTGCTTCGATCATGAAGCTTTTCGTCTCTGCAGCTGAACTATCAGGACAGACGTGAAGACGCTCGGTGGACTGTCCCTTTAATTGGAGCAGAGTGCGATTAAAGCAGCTGCTATTGGCCGATCGTGTCAGCTGACTGTTCTGTGACTTCCCCCTCACAGGTGTAACGCAGGTAACCTGAACGGTCACTACTACGACGGGCCGTTCGAAGCCTTGACGGACGACGGCGTGGTGTGGTACACGTGGCACGGCTGGGCCTACTCCATCAAGTCTGTCGTCATGATGATACGAGCGTCCGACCTCGAAGCGCCGCCTCCAGCGGACGTTTACCTGCCAGGCGGTCCTGACGTGGTCCCGGCGGCGGGCCGAGGCGCTCCGTGAAGCCGAGGTCACTTTGATGCTGTGAAATAAAGTCAGAGCGCCTTCGTATGATGTCATGTCGCATTTATTCTGTTCAAAACAACAAAAAAGAACATTGTACACTGAGGCATTCTGGGTAAATCTGAGGTTTTTCAGGACAAACAACAGAAACAGTAAAACAGGCCAGTGTGTCAGTGAGGGAGGGGCACGGCAGGGCAGACATCTGATTGGGCACCGGGTGATTTCAGGGCGCGAGGGGAGGTCTGCATATTTGGCTCTGAGGCCGGCCCCCTACGTCGAACGTCCACGGGTGATTACATTCCACAAAGCAGGTTAAGGTCGAGGTCGTGACAGGACAGAGGTCTGTGGGAGGCGTGTCTCCGTCCCATTGGAACGCTGATTGAGCTTCGCTCTTTGGAGGCGGAGCGTTTCCACAAACATCCACAAATCCAAGGTTTCCCCCGAGGAGGCGAGCGGAGCAGCGGTCAGGGAGGAGGAGCTATGTACAGACCCTGAGGCGTGCCTGCTGGTTTCTTCAGAGGAGGAAGAACGCTCCCGGGAGGACCGGGCGCTCCGAGACGGCGAGCTCAGCCCGGGGCCGCGATCTGGTTTAAGTGCGTCGGTGCCGCCGCAGCGTCTTTTCAAAATAAGATCTTTATTTAAAAATGTACAAGTCTGCGATGGCTTCATGTCCAGCGGCGCCGCTCCGACTCGGGAGGGGGGAGCGCAGGGGGGGCGGTGGGTTATCTGGGCGATAACGGCGCAGCTGTGGTGAAGGAGGCGGAGTTCCGGGGCGAGCTGAAGGGGGAGGTGGGCGAGAGGCGGCGGGGGCTCGCCAGCAGGTCGCCGTTGTGCAGCTTCCACAGCAGCTCCTCGTTCTCCATGGACAGCCGCTTGTTGACCTTTGACTCCTTCTGCAGCGTCTGCTGCAGTATGGCCTGCTCGCTGGACAGCTGCCTGCAGGGGGAGACAGAGAGCCGTGAGACAGGCAAGGACTTATTGAAAGGGGGCCGCTCGTTTACAGCTTCCACGCGCCCGCTGAGAGGCTGATGGGTTCTGATCACGACAGGCGCACGCGGGACGTTTAAAAGGCGCCGTCGTTCGTGCTGCTGTGGCGGGATTTTACTCTGAACGCTGTTAAAGCCACACGTCTGATGTTTTCACTCACTGCAAATACAAAGTAGATTTTTAAGTGTTTTTCACAGGCAAACAGTCACTTTCTTATTCACACGAGCCACAATAACAGGACAGAGATATGTGCGCCGAGGCTTCAAGCAATCAACATTCTCGCGCTCCTCGTTGCCTGAAATCGGCTTTCTTTTGTATTTACGGAGCAGAAACATGTTCGTCTCTCACAGAACGTCTCGTTCTTCACATTATGAGTCAAAGAACAGCAGCAGATAAACCCTCATCATCACGACTCACGCAGCGAGAGGCGCCGGCGGTCCCTGCGACAGGCCTTTTAACATTTATCTGAAAGCCAGGAGAGGGAGGGAGGAAACCAGGAGAGGGAGGGAGGAAACCAGGAG